CACAATCACAATAATATTCAAAATCAATTTAAGCAAACAAGAGTGGCATAATTAAAGCTAGAGCTCAGGGCCTCTTTCCAAAAGAATAAGATGGATTGAAATAACTACCACCATCCCCACGAAAAATATAATTAAATTAAATATGCATGTATATCGTTGAGGAATAATCATTGTAACAGCCCCCAAAAGAAAAATGTGTTTAATTCCAGTCAACTGAAAAATGTATCATTGATTTTTCCCCCAACAATATAGTAATTGTGAAGTCCACAGAAATGCAGCAAAGTTAATGCTAAGGTTCAAATATGAAGGCACCAAAGACAGAAAACTGGACAGTTTCAGACACACCTAACAGCTACAACATCGCAGTCACAATTTCCTCTTCCTTCACATGCCATCTGCCCCCCACGCACTTCCATTTCCTCTGAACTGCAAGTCTATATGCACATCACATTATCTAATCATGGAGTACTTTTTTCCTGTTTATACTAGAATTTATTTTATTTGGGCGGGGGAGGAGAGGCGTGATCTGTGTGTTAGACATTCTCTCACAGATGATTTCAGAAACAGTGTCCTCTCGATCCAGGGTGTTCATTCTCAGATCTTCTATGAAGAATGGTATTTGCACTAATGAATGTTTCCTGTGCTATTATTGGTGAGGCAATTAGGCCTTCCCACACTCATGTCTGCAGGCGGCTGTGGGCCTCTGGGTAATCAATCATGTTTCTCGGCAGCACTGTCAATCAGAAGCTCGCCTGAGTGGCATCTATTGACAGTTCTCAGCATGCCGGCGCTTTCCCGCTCCCTCTCCTCTTTCGGGCTCATGGTAATACAGACTTTGAGCCTGCTGTTTTTTCATCATAGAGTGGAATTTTTTCATTTTTCTCTGCTTGTGTTTATTCTTCCCCCCTGCTTTATCCTTTCAAGAATATCACAGAAAATATAGTATTCAACACGAATCCCCCAGAGGGCTTCTTGGCTGTGGTTTCAATATATATTATTCTGTATTTCATTTCTTTCCCTTCTCCTTACCTTTAGACACCTCAAACTACATCCTGCCAACCCCTATTACAACCCCAAAATATCCATACTCCATCTTTCTCTGCATTTCTGACCACATGTTTGACTTCTTCTCATTGTCCAGAAAGTCTTAACTAATGATTAGCAGGGAAGGGAATCGAATTGTTCTCCCCATCAGCATGGTCCCTAATTTTATCACCAAACTATATTTGTGAGGACCGCCTATGCCGGATTTTTCAAAACGACCCCAACCTCAAATGATCCATTCCTTGGACAAAGTGGTTCTAAACGTCAGTTTGGAAAATCAGGTTGTTGCACACTTAAATGAGATTATTTGAAGTGATTATGGTATTCACATCATTCTCCTTCATGTACTCAGAAAACCATCAGCACTAGAAAAAGACCTATTTCAATTAGAAACTGCATCCCTGTCTCCTGTAAACTGAAGGGAAACCTTACCTGCTACACGGCAGCCTGGACACAACTGCGAAGGCCCACGTGGAATTTGTCAGTGTCTGTGCCCCACCCCCGCCAGCACCACAGCAGGCACATGAGCCCACAAGTGACACACAGGACTGTCTCTCTCTTATCCATCCTCAAACTCACACTCAGAGAAACCTTAGCAATGACGGCACACAGGGCATTAAGGAATGATCCTTGGCTCTACTTCCCACAAGTCCTGGGTTCGTGCTTTCCTGATTTAACTACCTTTGGTAGGCACCTTCCTTGGTCCATCCACTCACAAGAAGTACTGGCAATCTGTTATTAGTATTTTGGCAGCTTCCCATGTGCAGAAAAAAAAAGGGAGTGGGGAGGAATATGACTGCTTTTTATGAAATCTCTCTGTAAAGAGGAATGTAGATCAACACAAAATGCTTCTGTATATGCAACAGCCCTTCAATGGGAAACTAAACAGTTTCTTCCAAGAATGTTTTGAGCTACATTATTTGATAAAATGGCACATAAACAATGGTATTAACATCCCTAAAGAAGAAAACAGTAGGTCCACTGGAAATGGAAGACAGCCTGTGGAAAAGGTTGGGGGAGATGTGTTAATAATGTAAGTGACATTTACAATCATTGGTCATGTGTTGGGTTCTGTGTGAGGTACAGCACATGCATTCTCTGTTTTAGTCCTTACTACAACCCTGTGAAATGGGTCCTATTGTTGGGCACACTTCCCAGATGAAACAGCCATGGCACAATGAGGTTGCACACCCAGCTCGGAGCAGTGGAGTGCATACAAGCTGAGACTGTCGGAGTCCAATGCCCCAGTTTTTAAGCCTGCTGTTATCCTGTCTAGTCAGTTTGGTCTCAGCACCATCCAGGGGAGAGGGCTATAATGCCCTGGATTCTAAACTCTGTTAGGTAAATATCCTTTGCTTTGACTCTGCATCCACCAAGTAGCCTAAGGTTATAGTCCGGCCTCCTCTGCTATCATGACTATAAGGATGGTTTTATGAGTCCTTTGAGGGTTGTTTCTCACTATAAAATGATGAATTGGCCATTTCCTGGCTCTCTTGGCCTCCTGAACATTCAGTTACCAAGAGTCAAGCCCCTTGAACCTTAGCACTCCCCAACCCTCTAAACTGGGTCCAGATCCTGGAATGCCCCAGCTCCATCCAGCCCTCTATTATATAAATGTCCATCAATTTCTCCATTTTCTATTTTTTTCCCTACAGATATCACACCTTCATTTTACTCTTTAGCTATGCAAAGGTGGCAAATGCAAAATCTTGTTAACCTTTGAGAACCTCGCTTTCCATCATTTTGACTATATGCTCATTTTCTGTCCTCTCCATATAAATATATTTTCTTTAAAACCAAATGACTCCTCATTATCAAAGTTCCATGAAACTAGTTGACTCATATATTCTACTTGTATCACCACAACATCAGCTTGCCTTTGTTTAGCTTTTGAATTCTATCAAGAAGAAATAAGTAACACTTGAGCTAGTCTCTTAGTCTTGGCTCACTGCAACCTCCGCCTCCCAGGTTCAAGCGATTCTCCTGCCTCAGCCTCCCGAGTAGCTGGGATTACAGGCAATTGCCACCACGCCTGGTTAATTTTGTATTTTCAGTAGAGACAGGTTTTCTCCCTGTTGGTCAGGCTGGTCTGGAACTCCTGACCTCAGGTGATCTGCCTGCCTCAGCCTCCCAAAATGCTGGGATTACAGGCGTGAGCCACCGCATCCAGCCGAAATCATGTCATTTTATACACACACACACATACACACACACATATATGAAACATATAGCATCCACATATAAAATACAATTTCTGGCCAAGCACAGTGGCTCACACCTATAATCCCAATAGTTTGGGAGGCCCAGGCAGGAGGATCACTTGAGCCCAGGAGTTTGAGAACAGTCAGGGCAACACAGCAAAACCCTGTCAAAAATACAAAAAGTAAATTTAAAAAATTAGCTGGGCATGGTTGCACACACCCATAGTCCCAGCTACTCAGGAGGCAGACTGAGTGACAAAGCAATCTACTTTATCTAAGGGAAAAGGCTCTGCCAGGCATTGAGCTTCTACCATGTTCTGGCAGGTCATGCTACAAAGAAACTGCCCTGCCCATACCCCCTCTAAGGATCCACCTATACAGTCATGACCTGATTCCACAGAAGAAGCCTGTGGACCAGGGGGAGCCAATCATAAGGCTCACAACCATTATCAGGGCCTGAGGTGAAAACGTGAGCTCAGCTGGTCCGAGTCCTCTCTTGGCAATTTAATCAGGAAACACTGGGAGATGGGGCTAGAGGGGTGGTGGTACTGAGGGTAAGAAGGGAGCCTGAGGTTGGGCTTGGGCTAGGGCAAGTGCATGCTGATATTGCAAGATATGGAAAGTCACAGTAGAGAGGGCAAGGAAGGTGCTTAGAACAGAGGAGATGAGAATAGGCATATGTGAAAGGGCATGTGCCATGTGGTCCTGGTTTTCAAGAATATGGTTTTCCTAAATGTGGTGGAGAAAAGAGGAAGGATGCCTGGGACTTGGGAGGATGAAGGGAAGAGCACCTAAGCATCAAAGGAAGCTAGGGATGCCCAATGAGAGGTGGGATGAAGAATCTTCTCATCTGTCTTAAGCACCTGTGTGTCAAATTCCTTTTTATAAAAAAAGCCCATACTGAGACCCTCTATAATGTACATAATGTCCTAAACTTTCACCAATGACAAATTTGCCTCTCAGGACAGTAAGTTTCACACCTACTCTCAATTGGGGTAGGACGAATCTTTCCCTTACGAGGTATGGATTTACATTTTGTTCTGATGACAAGTTTCCTGTAGCTGATCACATACCAGACAGAGGAAAGAGAGCCTTGTGATGATCTATGAGTTATACTAGCATGAGTAGAACAAACACAGGCCTAACCACCACTGCATTTTTCTAAACGTGGCCTACAGTCAACATACAACATCGCAAACACATCCTGTCACTACCACATAGCATCATGTACTATGCACAGTCCTCACCCCGAAAAGTGAGGTCCTCCTCTTCCATCCATAACCCCTGCAGTTTACAGGAAATTTTCCTCTCCATGTAAAGCAAACACATGTCTTTTCTATTACGGCTCCTTAAATGAGCCCTTTCACCATTCTTGCTGAATCCTCTACTTTCATTGGGGAAGCAGGAGATTGAAGAGAGTTACTGAAAAGTCAAGGCTAAAGTAAAATTAAAATGAAAACACAGTTTCTGAGACCTGCAGAGTGCACAGAAATGGTCTTTGTCTTGGTGGAGCTGGGAACACAATGGTGTAAATGTAGCTCTTGGCATGTGGCCCGCAGGTCTCATTATTTTACAATTATACCCAGATGTCAAACATCAATGTTGGCATTTAGAGCCTACAGAGTTGGTGAGTGTTTAAAATGGTTCACGCCTGCCTTCTGCAAAAGTTAAAGTGAAGAGATGACAGGTTTGTTTAACACAGCATGTGTTTTTCCTAACTAGCCAGTGACAAGAAAGAGTTATACAGGTACTTACTATTTATAACCCATGGCCACATCCACAAAATACTTTCTTCTCTGTCGATAGACATTGTCCTTAAATCCCTTAAACACAAAAGAGATTAAGTTATTTAACAAAGTGCTGAAAATTAGCTGCAGAAGACCTAAAAGAAAATCACTGTGGTGTTTATTCAGTGTTCAATTCATATGTAAATCTTATCCTAGGATGGCCATCTTGATGACACAGACAGAAACAAATTGTGCTTACAGTAAAACCTCATTAAATTGGGGCTGTGCTAATTTAGGATGTGTGGCAATTCAGGCTAAAGTTTACCTTTCCACTAAGTAAGCAGAATGACTTAGTTGAGCAAGTTGATATTGTGAACAACACCTTTAGGTTTTCAAACATCATTTGCATGTAATTGATCTTAATCACAAATTAATCCTATCCTATTCCTTAAAGCAGATCCCTTTAACATGATTATTCAGTAACTTCACCTAATTTTAATTGCTTTGTATAAATAACTAATAAATGTGACATTTATTATAAATCCTATCATTTAGAATAATCAACACATTCCCAAATCAGTATGAATTAAAGAGGTTTTGCTTTATTTTATGACTACGGCCACATAATGCAAAATCGATTTTAGGGAATTCATGCACAGAATAGCAGCCTAGCACCATTCCACTCTGACTTCTTACAATTCTAGTTAGTCTTAGCCAACTTCAAGATTTTTATCCATCATCATCCACTTGGGAAATTAAACATTATGTCTGTCATTTTTCAGTCAAGTGAAATCCTTCAGAGAGGACTTCTTGGTTTACTCAAAAATCTCTCCTCTTGTCAACAGACTTTCCATTTTCCTTTCCTTTAAGCACTTTCAGACAATCAATTCTTTCCAGGATTGTTTCTTCCAGCTGTTGGAAGCTCAGAAGGAATTGTTGCAATTTGACTCCTACCTCTACAGCCCTGCAACCTGGAAGGATAACCAGAAAGCAATGGCTTCCTAAGAATGGAGGCCAGGCAAGGAGACAAGCCACTGGGATCATGCTATTGGAGAGTGAAAGAACAGGGTGAGGCCCACAAAGGCCTAGACTACCTCTGCTGAACCTAAGACAGTTCTGCAAGATGGGCTGCCCAAGAGGAGCCTCAAACTCATTAGCAAATTGTCCCTCGCTTGCCTGGCTGAAGAAAACTGGCCTCGAGGCTAGAAATCTTCACAGGGTTATCTGCTGGACAGAAATGAAGAACTTCCATTGTCATCAACCTTTCTTTCAGGAATGACAAGAGAGTTACTAAGAGGAGGAGAGAGAAGATGACCTGAGACCACCTTTACACCATGTAGAAATGAAGTATCCTCTGTCCAAGAAACTAGCACTTTCTTTTACTGTGAATTGGGAGTTTTTAAACTGGGGTTCATAGACAGTCTTGTGAAGTCCTAAAATGTCTATATAAAAATTTTTACAAAATAGTTACCACTATCCTTGAATTTTGGGTATTTGGCAAAAATAATAATAATAATAATAATAAAATAAATAGTTACCACATTCACAAATAGATCTGTGCCCTTTAAAAAAGGTCTCCTGCTGTATAGGGTAGATGCAGTCATGCTAGAAAGTACTTGTTTCAACACTCACTAGTAAAACTACTTGAGATGGTAAAACCAAAGAATTCTAAGCACCTTTATTATTCAAAAAGAAAACAGGCCATGACAGAAGGAAAAGCGTCCTGTGAAAAGCATAGCATCTGTTCCCCGGTTCCTGCCAGACTGGACACCATGGTAACGGCATCATAATCTGCTGGGCCTCCTGAAGAATCTCAACTGCCTCTCTTCTGCAAACACCTGCACCTTTTCCAAGGACGCAAGAGAGTGATTTACTCATCATGCCTCATTAGCTTAGTGTGGCAGTGATTACGCAAATGTTGTGGGCGATCCAAAACTTCCTGGATTGAACCATGTACTGGCAAAGTAAAACAGGGATGCTAGCTGCACTAGTAGTGACAGAGAAACAGCATTCCTTGGCCATCCATTCTGAACTGAAGCCAGGGATAGGGTTACTGGATAAAATACAGGGCACTCAGTTAAATTTGAATTTCAGATACACAACAAATAATCTTTTTAGTATAAATATGTTCCAAGTATTGCATGGGACATACTTATGCCCTAAAACTATTCCTTCCTTATCTGAAACTCAAATTTAACTGGGCATCCCAGATACTTATTTGCTCAATCTGGCAACCCTAGCATCCAGAGAGTACCCACCCTCCCTCTCTCAATTTAAATCAAAGGAAATTGAAGACCCAGCCTGAACTCCAAAGTGCTCAGCTAAATTTCTGTTGACACTCAAGTAGCTATCCCAAATAGGTCAACCTTCACGGAATATTAGAATCACCTGGGAGCTTTAAATAAAACATCAAACCTGGCCACATTCCCAGAGGCCCTGGCATCAGTACTTTTTAATTCTCCACACGTGATTTGAGTGGAAAGCTAAGGATGAGAATCACTGAGCTAGAACATTAATTAAGACATTAGTTCTGAAACTTTAGATCTCATCAAGGTCTCCTGCAGATACTTTTAAATGCAGATCCCTGGGCCATCCCTGAAAGTTCTGACTCAGTAGGCTTCAGATGAGCATCAAGATATTGTATTTTTAACAAACACTTTATGAGTGAACCTTTAACCCCACTTCAAAAGACCTTCCCAGTCTAGATGCTGGCTCCTCAAAATGTGGTCCCCAGGCTCTCTGGTGCAAGCCTTATCTGGGAGATCACCAGAAATACAGAATCCCAGGCCCTACAGAATCATTGTCTGATTTTAAAATGATCTCGGGAAAAAATTTTTGCAATCTACTCATCTGACAAAGGGCTAATATCCAGAACCTACAAAGAACTCAAACAAATTTACAAGAAAAAAACAAACAACCCCATCAAAAAGTGGGCAAAGGATATGAACAGACATTTCTCAAAAGAAGACATGCATACAGCCAACAGACACATGAAAAAATGCTCGTCATCACTGGCCTTCAGAGAAATGCAAATCTAAACCACAATGAGATACCATCTCACACCAGTTAGAATGGCAATCATTAAAAAGTCAGGAAACAACAGGTGCTGGAGAGGATGTGGAGAAATAGGAACACTTTTACACTGTTGGTGGGATTGTAAACTAGTTCAACCATTATGGAAAACAGTATGGCGATTCCTCAAGGATCTAGAACTAGAAGTACCATATGACCCAGCCATCCCATTACTGGGTATATACCCAAAGGATTATAAATCATGCTGCTATAAAGACACATGCACACGTATGTTTATTGCGGCACTATTCACAATAGCAAAGACTTGGAATCAACCCAAATGTCCATCAGTGACAGACTGGATTAAGAAAATGTGGCACATATACACCATGGAATACTATGCAGCCATCAAAAAGGATGAGTTTTTGTCCTTTGTAGGGACATGGATGCAGCTGGAAACCATTATTCTCAGCAAACTATTGCAAGAACAGAAAACCAAACACCACATGTTCTCACTCATAGGTGGAAATTGAACAATGAGATCACCTGGACTCGGGAAGGCGAACATCACACACCGGGGTCTATTATGGGGAGGGAGGACGGGGGAGGGATGGCATTGGGAGTTATACCTGATGTAAATGACGAGTTGATGGGTGCTGACAAGTTGATGGGTGCAGCACACCAACTTGGCACAAGTGTACATATGTAACAAACCTGCATGTTGTGCACATGTACCCTAGAACTTAAAGTATAATTAAAAAAAAAAAAATGATCTCAAAGGTGATTTGTTTGCCCCTTGAAGTTTGAAAGACACTGACCTAGATATTTAACCCTTTCTAGGGAGCCTCAGCAACCTTACTCTTATATTCCAAGCCTCTTCTGAAGTACCCTATCACAAGGGTCCCTGTGTTTGTCTCAGGGCTGGGATTATTCCCAGGCATAAAAAGTGCTTAGACAATTTTTCCATCCTCATCAAACAACTTACGAAAACACCAATTTGCCAATATTACATTCTGTATAATGAACATTTGGTGTGCTTATAAAAGAAATATATGTGGTTTAAAAAATGACAAGAGAGGGGATTGCTAAGTACTTGCAATTATTTCTAGTGACTGCACAGAAAATAAGAGAAGGTATCATAAGGTGGGTATAATTAGGAGTAATGGAATAAAATTAAGCACAGGAAAATTTATGCTGGGTATTGGAATAAATTTATTCTCAGCACGGTCAGTGGTTCCTACGGTTGTTCCATTAAAATGGCTGAACTCCTTTCTCCAGGTTGAGTAATTTTCAAACTAGACTAAGGGGAGCATTTGGAAATAGGAGGTTATCAAAAAATCCTTTACCATCCAGGCATTGATCTGGATGATTTAATACAGCATTTCTATTTCTGGAATTAAGCATTTACTCTTGCCAAATGCTTTCCAGTTGTTTTATTAACTAGGCTTTTCAAACACCCCTTTGAGGTCAATAACAAGTTTATTTCCACTTTTTACATAAAGAACTTGAGGTGCAGAGGTAAAGGGACTTGGCCAAGGTCATTCTGTAAGTTAACAGCTGGTGTCTGTGCAGCCCGGGTACTGCTTAGCTGCTAAGTCAGGTTCCTGTGCTAATTCTGATGCCTTCTGGAAGTTGAGAGAGGGGAAAGATAACAATGGGTGATTATTAAAGCCATTTTTAATGTTTTTCTAATGTTCAGAAGCCTTACATGTGAATTACTGGAACATATTCTGAAATTTTAGGCTATATTAGCAAATATAACACATTGTTTCTTTGAGAGAATTTTTGAAAATAATGCAGTTGAATTGGGTCTGTTTGACCATTTGTTTGAATGGTATATTTGAATTGGTCTGAGTTGGTATGTTATGTCAAATGACTGGTTTAATTGAAAATTTCCCTAGTGTTAAAGTTGTCATAGTTTCCTTTAAAACAGAGGTTCTCAAACTTAAGGGTGGACTTGTTAAAACAAATTCCCACATGATACTGACACTGCTGATGTTGGGGTTGCACTTAGAGAGCCACTGTGCAGAGTAGAGCCACACTGTCAAACCCCCATATTTCCTCAGTTTAAACAGCAAAGAATGTCTGTAAATATTACCTGCAGACCACAGAGACGTCCTGTAAGCATTAGTGATCTGCTTGGGTTTTACTCTTTTATCTGCCCATTTTTAGACAAGGGGCACTGGGGGAGGGAAAAATGCCTATAATGAATGGGTGCATTGCTTACTTCTCCCACACTATTAACTGTACTTCACTCTGGCCATAAAGAAGTTCCAGGTCTCCTGTGTTAAATAAAAACTGATGTAAAGGGGGGAAGGGGAGAATAATGGGAAATGCTTACCCGAGTATCATATTTCTTTAAAGATGGTCATTTTTATTGGAGTAGAGGAAAGAATGATGGTAGATAGATTCAGGGTAGATGTGGGAAGAGATATGTCTTCCATCATAGCCTTTATTCTAAAACGCTCTGCCTTTCCATTGAGACTGAAGTCAACTACATTACTCTACTCCTAACTACCTCCAGTCAAGGAAAATAGCAAAAAGAATTTTATTCTCTCACTGAGCCCCATAATGCCTAGTCCTCCCTAGTTTCCCAGAGGCATGATCAATTTCAGCTCATCGTTTTTCCAAGGGTCACCATCTGCAAGTATATTTCAGCTGTCTAATTCCACAGAAATATTCTCCAAGGTTTAGAGTCTCCTCCTCTATCCAACCCTTTTAAAAATAAATGCTACGTGAAAATACCATCCTTCTAACCTGCTTCCAGTCAACACGTGTACAGGGAAGCTTTATCATTTGGAAGTCTGCTCTCAGTTATGGGGAATAAATAAGAAATTGTTCTATAATAAAGCATTGCAGCACAGAACATGGCACACTGCCTGTCACATGGGTGGAGCTGAGAGAGCATGTGAGAAATATATTTTACTGGACACTTACTGGGTGGTCGGCATCAAGCTCAGAACCATACATGAGAACTCTGTGAGAGCATTTGTCTAACTCAGAGATCTTCCGAGGGAACCAGGGCACATCCTCTAGCTCTGTTGAAAACAGTGCAGGTTCAAAAATATTAGTTCACAGATTGTGTTTTCCCCTTTGCAATATTTGTCAGATTTCAAAATTACCCAACAAGCTAAGACCACCCTTGCCTTCTTCCTCTGTCCAAATATTCTCTGGAGGATTCAGCGTCACAATAGTGGTTTGAAATTTCAGCAACTGAATGAGCTCATTGAATTCTGTTTTCCCACACTCACAGTCCACAAAGATTTCAACCTCAGAGCTCCTTCGCCGAGATTTCCTGGATTCAATATGAACCATGTGGACGCGTTTTTCCTGTGGAAACATGACCATCTCAAAATCACCTTCGGGGGACAATAAAAGGAATGCCATCAGCTTTTCTTGTTCACGTCTTAAGCAAGGTGCCAAGTACCCATGCAAGAGGAAGAGACAATCTCTTTGTTCTTTGAATAAAACTTGGAAATGTTTCCAACCATTATTGCTGTTAATAAAAAATCTATATATTCATACTTCTGTGTATAGGTTGTCCTGCCTCATATAAAACAGAAGGGGCATTTAAAATATAAACTGGCCCTATAAAATGAACATCATCATTTCCCAGAGAGTGGTACACATCCCATAGGTGGCACATTATTATTTGGGGAAAAAATTATTTATTACATTATCATGTAATAATCCATATTTATATGTTTCCGAAAAACATAACTAAAACTCAAACCCCTAATATAAAGTTTTCTTTTTTTTTTTTTTTTTTTTTTTTGAGACGGAGTCTCGCTCTGTTGCCCAGGCTGGAGTGCAGTCTCAAAAAAAAAAAAAAAAAAAGTTTTCTTTTAAAATAAACAGAGTTTTAAAATAGCCTTTTATAAATAACCTTTTATAATCTTTTTATAAGTAAACAGTACAAATGGCAAGCAGAAATGGGGGAGGTGGCATGAAAATGACTGAGGCTTGGGAAACACTAGCCAAACTGTAATCCATATGGTAGAAAAAGAAATAGGAGCAAGATAAGTAGTCAAGAGAGGATCTCTGAAGGCAAAAGGAAAACAAACAACTTAGGCAATTGCACAGAGGGTGAAGAAAAGGTAAAAAATAATGATAATAACCCCTAAATGGGATCACTTAATAATTGTTCTCTTTTGACAATCTTCAAACTAGCTTCAACCAAGGATGTGTTGCTGCAACTATCACTCTATGATGGATCTCAGAGATAAGGACAGTGATTTAATATTTAAAAATCAGGTTAGAATTTCCCCCAGTGATGTGTTCTTCATTTCCTCTAAGTTAATTGAAGACTCTGTTCTTTTCATCCCAACCCACCTCCAAATAAGCAGACATTTTCTCACTCCAGATGATACACTGTGATTACCCGCACAATTCCTGATACAATCCTAGACAATCTCAGAATTTTCAGCATAAGAGCAGGATACGTAGTTTCCAGTGCCAGAATAGTATCAAATCAAACAGCACCCTCTCCTATATAAAGAAACTAGTCTCAAAAAAAAAAAAAAAAAAAAAGAAACTAGTCTTGTGACTAGGAAACTAAATGTTCTATTTCTGTTTTTATTAACCTTTACAATAATGTCATATTTTCTCAACTGGCTGATAATAACATTAAGATTAAGTTCAAGGTCCAAGAGACTTCACATACATTGTGTCACGTTAGGCTTTTAATGACTTTTGGTTGAAGCAGAGTAGATATTTTTAGGGGAACTGAGGTCCAGATGGGTTAAATGGTTTAGCTAAGGTCTGGTGACTAGCTGATGGCAGAGTGAAAACTCAGGGCTGCTAACTCCTTCTCCAGGAATTTATCCACTGCACCCAGCTGTCTAATTGAATTGGCCTGCCTTTGGCACTGTATGGACACAGGCTTGGATGACATAATTATCTGTAAAATATTTCCTCAGATTTCCATTACCACTGTTTATGGTGCCTGATCCTTTCTTCAAGGTCAAAAGAGAACAAGAAATGATTTGCCAAATCAGGCTGCTAATTCCCCTGCTATGATCATCATAGAGGCATCATAATAATGCCTCATAGTTATACACTTTACAAAGCACTTTCACTCATATTATGTCGTCCCAGCAATCCTGTTAGGTAGGAATTATTATTGCAATTTTACAAATAAAGAAATTGAACCTAGGAAGCAGCTAGTGTTTAGCCAAACCAGGAGAACACAGGTCTGAATCCCCTGACTGCAATTCCAGCTATCTTTCTACCGCACTAGCAGCCCAAGGCATCATGCAGAGCTAGGCTCCTTATCTTACAGCTCTCATCAACAGCCACTGCCCCCAAACAAAATGCATTTTGTAAGGGAGGGTGTTTGCTGAAGGGTAGAGAAACCGTTAGGTACATGCTGGCAAGAACACAACAGCTTTTCTTCCAGCCTCACCCCTAACCAGAATCTTTCTTGAGGGTTCAAACTACAGATTTGGGCCTGAGAAGATGCTACGACATTTCTATAAGATAAGGGAAGAGCTAGCCCCACAATGTATAATATAAGGAGAGTGACTCATCTTCACAAAAAGATACATAAAGACACATAAACAATGAGGCTTAGGGGAATACCGAGTGCCTATACTCATGTATCTCACTTTTTTCGTAATAAACATGCTCCTAGGACATGTGTAAGTTCAAATGTGAACAAATCAAATCAAGCTGCAGGCTCTTGCTACTTAAGATACCCTGTTTGGCTCCTCTTGTGTTTTCATTTTCAGGTGGGAAGCTCACATTTTTGAAGTACTGACCTCCTAACCTGGCAATAGTCTTCAGAGTTCCTAACAAGCTAACTGCATTAATAAGCCACAGCTTATACAATTCTGCTTATTTCATTGCTTGACAGACAGACCCCCCTTTTAAAGCCTCTTGAGGTTTGGTTCCTTCGAAACTTTCACCACATTATCCAGAAATTGATTCAGAAATGTTTCAGAGCAGATAACAGGTTTGTAACCAGGCACACAGTCACTTTTAAAATGATGTAATGATATTTTACATTCACCTGAAAGAGCCTCAGTGCTTTCACCAATCCACCGACTTCATTTTTCAAGGAGAAAACAACTGCTGTCTTGCCACTTTCGGTAGCAGTTTCATTTTTGCTGCTTCCCTTGTTGCCTTTGTCGTCATTTTTGCCAGAGTTAGCTTTATTTAGCTTCAGGAATGTCGAAGCATAATAAAACGAAACGTTAGTTAGGGTTCCAGAATCCTCTGTAATTAGATTTTTCCCACACATTTCATTCATAAGTTGGAAGCTCCACCAATCATACAAACTTAAGGTGAAGTTGCCATGTCACTCATAACTTTCAATCATAAATATTGGTTTAATTTACGCTGAGAGACTGTTTTCCAGTGGTCTAAGACATCATCTAGTGGTTGAAATTAAAAGGGGATCAGATTTGCTTCGCTTTAATAGCAACAAAAACCTGACTGTCATAAAGCCTGAAGTATCATATATGAACAATTCCTGCCTTTCTAGAATTATTTTACAGCACAAAGTTTGATCTCTTAGCGTCATTGAATCATATGGAAACTATATTAATTACTAACCATAATAAAAATAAGATCAAACATATTTTTGACAATAATTTTAGTTTCAATTAAATTTTAAAAACAAAATATTTATTTCGTTCTGAAATATGTCAGCACATGCCCAGAAATTAATGAGTAATATTACTTTCTTCAGTTAGATCCACAGTGTCAATGTGAATCTGCCTGCAAAAGTTTAACACAGACAAGTGTATAACTCTAAGGCCATCTGTGTCAGAAGACAATGCTTGAAAAGTGACTATTAAAATTCAGTCACAAATAAAATGAAAAAAGAAGAAAGGAAGAAAGAAACCTGGCAAGCTAATTATTAGGAGCAAACAGTAAAATCTGAGAAACTGAAGAAGATTAACACTTCATTCGCCACTTAAGATTTTATATTGCCTGAGGAAGTAATGTCTATTAGTCCTGCTGGCTAAAGAAAAAAATGACAGATTCCAGTAACTCAGGTCACATTGCCAGAAATGCAGAATAAAAATCTGGAAACTTTATTTAGGAATAGAATGGGAGGAAACAAAACAAAAACAACAAGCTGGGAACTTTCATTTGACAGACAATGCAAAATTAGGATGGTCTGTTTTATATTCTTTATATGCAAATACAGCATTGGGCAGACAAAGAAGTAACTCCTGGCAAATGGTGATTTAATACAATCATACCAATCTGCTACATCCTCATGAAACTGAGAAATGTAGGTTTGCTTTGGGACCCAGTGAATAGTTATCTGCCATTGTCTTCTTCTGATTTCTCTACTGGCTTTATTTTCACACATCAGTATTGCCTTACTCACTAGATTATATGTAATAGAGATGGAGATTTTATTATTTATGACTTGAGGGAGGGAAGAAGTTTATGCAGACATTGACATTTGACAGTATGTTTAGTCATTAAAAGCTCAAATGTCTCAGTGTTCTTAACATCTGCCTCCTCCTCACCACATAACACACAGATCTCGCATATATAAGTAGCATTTTTTATATAAAAGGGTCATACATTAGCATTACCCTAAGCTTTCTTTGTTTTCCTTCTAGCAGTTATTATGACTTCAAAATTCTTCATTGTAATATCTCATCCAAATATTCATTATATTTAAATGTTAGAAAATCTATTTACGCTTTGGCCTTATTTTTGCAAATTGATTTAAATAATTCTACAGAAGTTGCCACGTTTACTTTTCAACATTTTTATCAGTAATAATATGTCAGTACAATGCAGCCCTCTGGCACATATTTGGAACTACGATATTAAAACAGATTATTCTATGATACAGACTGAATTGGATTTGGTTGATAAACTCTGGTAGTACAGTAATAAAATACCATTTAATATTTTTAATGACTAGGACCTGGACACATTTTTATTTCATGGTTTTTGTTAAATCCCATCACTATTACCTCAAAGCAGGATCTAAAATCCTGCAAATACTGCTTTTTTTATTCTGTAAATATTATAAACATAAAACTCCCTTAAATACCATAGCAAGTGATGTATTGCTTGTATTATTCCATCAAGTAAACTGAAAAAATTGAGCAATGTGGAACACAGAAAAACTTTTGAAAGGAATTCAATCTTTCTTTTATTCCAATAACCTGCACCCATAACTAAGAACAGAAAATAATAGTTCTATGTTTAAAGACCAGGCTTTGTAAACTGAAGGGGGTGTAGGAGACACAATGATCTTCTGAATACCGTGGAAATTTATTTAATTTGTTCTCCTTACTCCTCCTCCTAATAATAAATGGCTTTTCAAAATTCTTCACACTCTTTTTTTTTTTTTTTTTTTTTTGGTTGTAGATTTAAGACGTTGATTCATACAATCTCTCATTCTTAATGTTCAGGAACTTCTTAACTCCGTACTTATAAACTTTGCGGAAAAAAAGTTTAGCACGCAGTGATTGGCACACTCGCTTTGCTTACGGAGAGAAGAGGAAGACTGAAGGCAGACAGGAGGAAAGCAGGGTAGAGAGTTTATAAAGAAGGAGAAAGTTGAGGTGTGCGTGCTTACTTACACTACAAGAGGGATTCATATGGTGAGGAGAAGATGGTCACTGCCCTAGAAAATATTTCTCCATAGTGCCAGGTACGTAGTACTCACTGTTAAGTTGCCGAGTAGCTGATGCTCTTCGGGCACTGCTGAATCCAGGGAAAACCCTCTCCTTGCCCAGTATTTACTGGAAAACATCATCATTGCTGGCTGCATGGATCCCAGTGTAATATTCTTTCTCTGCAGCAGGGGGGACTAGAGGGGCAGTAGCAGCGCTGGCGGAGATTGAGAGGAAGGGGCGTGCGATCAGCTGCCTGCTTGGGGCGCTGTCCAGAACACTGGTGCTGAAGAGCAATGAGAATCCTCCCATCCCCGGGCTCCTTTATATGAATGACTGGAGACTGATGGAAGGCTGATTAGAAAGAAACTCATTTCTGGTTGCCGATGGCCACAGTCAGATTACAGACCTGAAGCCTGGGGTTATCTGTGCTCATGATGTGATTTGTTTCATAGGTCGAGTAGCTTTCTGGGCGGGGGTGGTGGAGAACAATACATAAGGGGGTGTTATTTGTACAAGAAACCATCTATCCCCTGACGTTAGCTCTCTCATCTCTCAAGCCTGCCGCTAGCAAGTTAACCTCAGTCTTTAAGCAACTGTGAATTCAAAGATTTTGTGCTTTCTTTCCAAAATTAGAAAAATAATTTACGAAAGATCAGCACTGCTGAATCCTTAAACCATTTTATGGATTTTTTAATTTTTAATTTTTATGGATAACGAATAGTTGTGCATACTTATAAGGTACATGTGATATTTTGATAAAAGTGTGCAATATGTAATGATCAAATAAGGTAATCAAGATATCCATTGCCTCAAGCATTTATCATTTCTTTGTGATAGAAACATTCCAATTCCACTCTTTCAGTTATTTTAACATACAAAAGAAAATAAATTATTGTGCTCCTGAATACTAGATCTTATTCCTCCTATCAGCCTATTTTTTTACTCATTGACCAACTCCATTTTATGTTAATAAGCTTTTTCTGACCTGACATACTGTAATTTTGTGCATGCAAACATGTGAGTGTACATATGTGTAATGGCTTTCATAGAAGGACTTCTTCTTAATCCTGTGATTCCTCTATGTAGAGTTATATGGAGGAAAATGTATTGCAAAGAAAATGTAAGGGTTTGATTTAGCCACAGGGAGTTTACGTATAGCTCAGATACTAACCCTGGAATCTTCCTTACTAAATGAGAAATAAAAGGAGACTAGATTCCCATATATCAGCCATTCATTTTAACACTCTTGTGGTTACTGAATTTTTTCTCTCCACTGAAAATCATGGAAATTTAATCATTGACATAACCCTTTCATATAAAAACTGCTACTTAAATATATGAGATCTGTGTGTTATGTGGTGAGGAGGAGGCAGAGGTTAAGAGTACTAAGACATCTGAGCTTTTAATGACTACATATACTGTCAAACATCAGTGTCAACTAGATCAAATCCAGCAACTTGACATGCATAGATTAATCAATTCTTACTATTCAAACCTTAGAAAGTCATAAAATTCACAAGGCCACAGGAAAATGTTACCAATCTCCTGAAGAATGAAAAACTCTTGGCCAAATGTGCTTGTTTCACTAAAAATCTAAACAAAATCTGGTGCTGGCACTGCTTGCCTATATATATATATATAAAAAAGGGGTTTCAAAACAAGTTGGGATGAACTAATATTGACTGAAGTTTAATTGTTTCTGGAATCTTGAAGGGATATAATTATTAATTGATCTAATTCTGAAAATATTATTTGGTTTACATATTCTGTAAAGGTCAGCTCTAATCAGCTAATAGGAGAAGCAAGTTTAAATAAGATGAATGAAGTAATGACAATAATAGCTAATGTTACTGAGATGTAATGAAAAAACCAGAGATGTGAAGGGATAAAATCCACTAGACAGTGTCCCTGCTTGGATGTGAAAGCGAGGGAAAAAAGATATTAAAAGTAATTTATTTAAAATATGTATTTACAATATTAAAGATTTAACTACCTTTTCTCACCCTAGAAACCCTATTAAAACAACATAAAAATTCCTTTTCAAGGTACATAAGAAATGCATAAATTGGAAAACAACAGCAACAAAAAATTAGCAGCTTGAAAGAAGAAAAAAATGATCAAAGGCTTTGCAGTCATGGGAAAGCTGAACCTTAAGCTATCAATGAAGAAGACTGAGAAGCAACGCAATTTACATGACAGAATATCCTAAAGGCTCAAATATCTCTGGAATTGAAGGTAGATGAGACTGAAAAAGAGTGGTTCGAAGTGTGAGAAGCAGTTAGACAAATCAAAACTTACAACAAAGTTACAATAATCAAGACAGTGTGGTACTAAGGACAGATATATAGGTAAATGAAATAGAATTGAGTGTCCAGAAATAAACCCTTATATGTAGAGGGAATTGATTTTCAACAAAAGTGCCAAGACAATTCAATGGGGAAAGAATGATCTTTTGAACAAACTGTCCCGGAATAACTTTGGATATCCACATGCAAAACAATGAAGTTGAATTTCTATTTCACATTGCACACAAAAATTAACTCAAAATGAATCATAAACACACAATAAGATCTAAAATTAAAACTCTTAGAAGAAAGGGTAGGAGTAAATGTTTTTGCCTTTGGATTAGGCCATTGTTTCTTAGATACGATACCAAAAGCATAAGTACCCAAAGAAAAAAATAAGATTTTATCAAAATTAAAGACTTCTGTGCTTCAGAGGACACCCTCAGAAAAGTGAAAAGACAACCCACAATACGGGAGGAAATATTGGTAAACCATGTATCTCATAGGAGACAGTATCCAGAATAAAAATTTCTTACAACTCAGCAATGAAAAAAACAAATAGACCAATTTTTAATTGGGAAACAAAGTTTATTTGAGACAGCTTGCTCTGTTATCCAGATTGGAGTGCAGTGGCACAATCATAGTTCTTGGCAGCCTCCACTTCCTGGGCTCAAGTGATCCTCCTGCCTCAGCCTCCCAAGCATCTGGGACTACAAGAACAGGCCACCACACCCAGCTAATTTTTTGTTGCTGTTGTAAAGGCAGGGTCTTCCTATTATGCTGAGGCTGGGCAAAAAATGTTAATAGACATTTCTCCAAAGAAGATATGCCAATGCAAACAGGAAAAGGTGCTCCACGTCATTAGTCGTTAGGGAAATGCAAATCGAAAAACACAGTATGACTTCTGACCCACAAGGATGGCTAAAATAAAAAAGACAGACAATAACAAATATTGGTAAGGAAGCAGGAAATGTGAAACACTCACACCTGGTGGTATTATAAAATGGTACAGTCACTTTGGGAAACAGTTTGGTGGTTTCTCAAAATGCAAAACATAAAGTTACTGTATGACTCAACAATTTCACTGCTAGGTATGTGTAAAATGGTGTAGTTACTTTGAAAAAACGTTTGGTGGTTCCTCACAAAGGTAAAACTAGAGTTACTACATGATTCAGCAATTCTACTCTTAGGTGTACACCCAAGAAAAATGAAAACATATATCCACACAAAAACTGTACATGAATGTTCAAAGCATTATTATTCATAGTAGCCAAAAGTAGAAACAACTCAAATGCTATCACATAATGAAAAAAAACAAAAAAGATGTATCATAAATAAAATATTATTTCACAATATAAAGAAATGAGGTACTGATACATGTTACAATATGGGTGAACCTTGAAAACATTATGCTAAGTGAAAGAAGCCAGTCAGAAAAGACCATGCATGTATTGTAAGATTTTGTTTATATGAAATGTCTAGAGATGTTAAAAGAGATCATTTTAAAAAAAAGAGAGAGACACAAACAGAAAGTAGATTAGTGGCTGCCAGGGGCTGGAAAAAAAGAGGAGGTGGGGAATAACTGCTAAAAGGTACAAGGTTTCTGTATGAAAATGTCGTAAAATTAAATATTAGTGATAGTTACACAACTTTGTGAATATACTAAAAACCACAAAATTGTACACTTTAAGGGAGGGAAACTTTTGGCGTATACATCATATCTCAATAAAGCTGTTATCTTATTTTTAGAAAGCAGTTAAAATTCCATATTCCCCTTGACTATTCTAAACAGCCACGCCACCTCCTCTTGGGAAGGTTACTCTCTGGAAAGGGTAAAACAAAGGGCCACTGTACTTAGGAGCATCAAGCATAGTTGAGAATAGGGGGTACCATTCTGATTAAACGAATGTATTGAGGTATTGAGACTCATATCATGACATGGAGACTCCCAAACATCGGAAGGCTGACAGTCAGGCATTTAGTCTCCAGCCAAATAAAGACAAAAAAAATTCTTTGGAGAATCTGGCAAAGGCAAGATCTTAAAACACAGTGAGAGCTAAGATAATATTGAATGCTCTGGACAAAATAATGTAATCAGATTACCCTGTAAGTTCACATTTGACAAGCCCCAATTTAAATATTTGTTGGAGAGTATGGGGTTAGATTAGTGACAACTATATATAAAATCAGCAAGTAAAAAACCTTGATAAAAATTAACTCCCCAAGAAAAATGAAAATTAGGGCTGAAGGGGAGCATGTCTCACTGGAGGATTACATTTACAAAGTCATAACATAAGCACTAAATATTGACCTAACCAATATTATATCAATTATATTGGAAGACAGACAGATAAGAAAGTGTGCATATGAATAATAGGGGCTGTGGGGAGAGGATAAACAGCTAAATTCTCATCTTCCAAGATGAAAAATCAATGGTTAATGCCTAGAGCTGAAAATCAAAGTAGTTGCAACATACACATACTACAGCATTCAGACATATGGAAGTAAATACCACAAGCATGACCTGACAGTTGAAAGTCTTGCCACTGGTGGGGGATGAGGAGGGTAGGAGGATATGGATGGTGGGGAGAAGGGGAGGAACAGTTTCTCATAACAACAAATCTTGTGGAAACCATGTACATGTGTGACATTGATTACAAAAATATAAACTTTGAAAATAAATTATGCCAGGCATAATGGCTCAGGCCTATAATATCAGCACTTTGGGAGGCCAAGGCAGGATGACTGCTGAGTCCAGGAGTTTGAGACCAGCCTGGGAAATATAATGAGACCCCATTTCTACAAAAGACAAAACTAAAAATAAAAATAAAAACTAGTGTAATGGTATGTGGCAGTATTCCCAGCTACTG